GGAGGAAAACGCTCCACTTTGGATTCCATAATATATAAATCACCCCATTGGTTGCTAATTTTTCCCCTTTCTCTGGCCGGCTCCATAAAAACAGTGCACAAATCTCTCGAGGGGCTTGCCTGGGAAACTCTATATGTTGCACCCCGCCTCAATCTACTTACCGTCTTGCTTGTTTATTATCTATAAGAGAAGAAAAATATGCCCTACGTTCGACGCATGGAGAGTGAGCAGCTTTAAATTAAACTCTTCTTCTTTTTTCCCCCCTTCCTTGATTAATTTGCCACTCTGCACTTTCATCCACACAAGTTAATTAGGAAGCCACTGGCTCAATGAGGAATTATACAGAGAAGCAACGCAAGGAAGCGCACGCCCATAAAAAACACTGATCGCTGCAGTGAAAGAGTGAACTCGCTTTTGCGGAGAACCAAGACCTCTTTTTTAAAATCCTTGCCCACAAGGAGAATACGGAATTGATCCTCGTTTTTGAGGAAAGCATCCCTCGTCTGGGTCTTCTTCTTTTTAGGCGATCCCTCGTTGTCCAAGTAGGATTTTTTTCCAAGATCAGTGTTCTGGCGGTGAGTCCGTAGGTGACTGTGGAGCCCTCTTCTTGACCTGCATCTTCTCCCATTGGTGTGGAGAGGAGCCGAGGACAGCTGCAGGAAAAAGGACCCAAAGGAGCCCCAGAGACAGACCTCCCTCCTCTTCAGAGGGAGAAGGAGGAGGAGGCCATGGAGGGCCCCGGGAATCAGTGGGGCCGCGTGAGGGAGCAGGCCAGGTAAAGAGGATGAGGAGGAGGCAGGGAGGAGAGGCAGGGCCTTCTCAGTGGTGGCACCTCGGTTGTGGAAAAAGGCAGGGAGGAGAGGCAGGGCCTTCTCTGTGGTGGCCCCTTGGTTGTGGAACTCCCTCCCTAGCGATGTCACAGCAGCCCCCCTCCCTAATTAGCCTTCAGGAAAAAGGAGGAGGAGAAGGAGGGGAAAAAGGCAGGGAGGAGAGGCAGGGCCTTCTCTGTGGTGGCCCCTCGGTTGTGGAAAAAGGCAGGGAGGAGAGGCAGGGCCTTCTCAGTGGTGGCACCTCAGTTGTGGAAAAAGGCAGGGAGGAGAGGCAGGGCCTTCTCTGTGGTGGCCCCTTGGTTGTGGAACTCCGTCCCTAGCGATGTCACAACAGCCCCCCCTCCCTAATTAGCCTTCAGGAAAAAGGAGGAGGAGAAGGAGCGGGAAAAAGGCAGGGAGGAGAGGCAGGGCCTTCTCTGTGGTGGCCCCTCGGTTGTGGAAAAAGGCAGGGAGGAGAGGCAGGGCCTTCTCAGTAGAGGAGCGGGAAAAAGGCAGGGAGGAGAGGCAGGGCCTTCTCTGTGGTGGCCCCTCGGTTGTGGAACTCCCTCTCTAGCGACGTCACATCAGCCCCCTCCCCTAATTAGCCTTCAGGAAAAAGGGGCATTGATTTCCAGGTGGAAGATGGTCCCGGTCAGGGTTGGCTTGATGCGCCTTCCTCTTGGCACGTTTCTCTCTTTCCATTCTTGAGCTCGGAGTAGAGCACTGCTTTGGGAGAAGGTGGTTGGTCATTCAGACAACGTGGACCTGGTCTAGGGCATGCTGGGAGCTGTAGTCCAGAAGAGAGTGTGGATATGCTATTGTGTGTTTTGTTTGCTGGGGGAGTCATTTTTGTGCATGCGCTGTAGCATCTTTTTGATTTTTGGGCCTTTAAAGTCCCTTCTGCTGTGTTTTTCAGTGTTTTTATGAGTGATGGTCACTGGTTAGCCTAGAAGGTGTATTGTGTCCAAATTTCATGTCAATTCATCCAGTAGTTTTTGAGTTATGTTAACCCCACAAACGAACATTACACACACGCACACACAAATAAATAAATAAATAAATAAATAAATAAATAAATGTAATTTTCGTTTGTGATATTAACAGAACTTAAAAACCACTGGGGCAATTGCCATCAAATTTGGACACTAGACAGTATCTCAAACAAGCTATGTCCTCCACTCACAAAACCCCAAAAAAAACCCAGTTCCCCTCCCTCCCTTCCCCCTCAGAAAGACGTCCAACTGTAAGCCTCAGGTAGGGAGGGAGGAGGGGAGGAGTGCACGTGCACGGCCAGCAGCGAGTACGCGTGCACAGCAGGCTCCCACGAGTGGAGGCTCTCCCTTCAGGAGCTGGAGGAAAAGCCCTCATCCCCGCAGGCCTGCCTCTCTGCCGCTATCCAAGTTTACATGCTGCCTAGGTTGCTCTGCCTTTTCAAAGTTAATCTATCCAGACTCGACTAATCTACTGCTGATGGGATGGATTCGGGAGAAAGGAAACTCTGCAGAAGCAAAAGCAATCAAGCTCAGAGCAGATCCATTGATAATCCAGGCTCAGAATACAGAAACCCCAATCCTATTCATGTCAGGCAGGAAGACCCCATTCAAGCCCTCCCAACAGATGGCCATCCAATTCCAACCCCATTCTGCCAGGCAGGAAGGCACTATTCATTCTACAAATATAGTAGTTGGACTGGATGGCCTCTGGGACTCCCTTCCAACTGGTTGACCATCTGTCAGGAGGGCTTTGATGGTGTCTTCCTTTACTGTAAAATGAGGTTGGATTGGATGGCCTTTGGGGCCCCTTCCTATACCTCAAAGGGTTTCCTGCACCATCAAACGGTCCCTTCCCTGGCGATCCCCCTCCCTCCCCTCCCTCCCTCCTAGCCACTCGTTGCTGTGGCCTAGCTTGGTGATATGGAAAATATTTGAAAAGTAAATTAAACAAGTATTTTAAACCTAGAATATCTAATTGAAGTATTCAAAAGTTAAATATTTTTAAATGAAAATAATTAAATGTTTTAAAATTAAATAAGTATTTTATAATTAACATGTTATCAAAAATATTTTGAAAGGGTTATATAAATTTATAGATATATATTGCCAATTATTACATAGCTGTATGGATTCGTTGGGCCAGTTCAGTTTTTTGTAGTTCTTTGAGATATATTTTTATGTGTCATATCATTGACTTAAAGCCTATTATACTATAAATACACATATACACAAATATATACACACTAGGGCTGGGTAACAACGGAAAAAATTGTTTCTAAACTCGTTTCGTTTTTAGGGGGTCCATTGTGTTTCGTTTTTTAAAAGAATTCTGAATTTTTCTTTAATAAAAATTCGTTATTTACGAAATTTCGTAAATTTCGAATTGATTCGTTAATGGCGGATGCGATTGCGCAATACGCTAAAAAAAACCTCCAAATGGGACAGGGGGAACTTCTGAAGCTTTCCTCTCCCTCTGTTGTTGACTGTTGGTGTGATAATTTATTTTTTTATCACTGATAAAACAAACAACAACTATAAAACTTGCACCAGACATACGGAAATAATTACGAAACGATTTCAAAACGATTTTGAAACTATTTCGAACCAATTACGAAACAATTATTTATTTATTTATTTATTTATTTGATGCATTTATTAACCGCCATTCTCAGCCCCTTAGGGCGACTCATGGCGGTGTACACACATATAAAAGACAGTTTACAAAAGGCAATTTCAACAACATATAAACTACATAACAATTACAAAACTACACTAAAAATCCGCTTCGTCTCATAGTGGAATCATAAGCCAATCTCATATTCCTATTCGTTTCGATTTTTAGTTGCTCCTGCATGGCTCAATATCGGATTGTAAGCTAATTTAAATACGAATCAATAACGAATTACGAAATTAACGAACGAAACCGCCCAGCCCTAATACACACATATACACACAAAACACATATACACAGACTGGGCCATAGCAACGCATGGCAGGGGATTCCACAGATATATAAACGCCATTTTCCTAGTTTCCAATAGACCCCACCCTCTCTGAGTTTGCCTGCCATAGATGCAGGTGAAACATCAGGAGATAATGCTTCTGGAACATGGCCATACAGCCCGAAAAACTTACAGCAACCCAAAAGCCTTTCGTGTCAAATACAACTTGATATCTCTTTTTATAGCAGAGGTGCTGGCAATTGAATTGGGCGGCTTCTGCCTATCATGGAGTGCATCCTCTCTCCAAATGCCTTGCTCACTCTTTTGTCCATTTTGAGACCCCGTTCCGCAAGATTCTGACTTAGAGGTCCATGTATATCAGTGTTTCTCAACCAGGGGGTCGGGACCCCTAAGGGGGTCACCATTTGGTGCCAGAGGGGTCGCCAAAGACCATCAGAAAACACAGTTGATGCCGGGCTTAGTCCTCATGTAAGCCTTCCCGAGTCCCTCTTGGTATCAATATAAAAAGCCTTTCCTGTCCACTGAAACAAAAGGAAAGCATTTCGCTTGCCCTTACAACCTGATAATGCTTTCTTATATCTCTTCTCCTGGAGATTATATATCATGGGAGTTCTGTGTGGGAAGTTTGGCCCAATTCTATCATTGGTGGGGATCAGAATGCTTTTTGATTGTAGGTGAACTATAAATCCCAGCAACTACAACTTCCAAATGTCAAGCTCTATTTCTCCTAAGCTCCACCAGTGTTCAAATTTGGGCACACTGAGTATTTGCGCCAAGTTTGGTCCAGATCCGTCATTGTTTGAGTCCACAGTGCTCTCTGGAGATAGGTGAACGACAACTCCCAAACTCAAGGTCAATGCTCACCAAACCCTTCCAGTAAGTATAAATCCCATCAACAACTCCCAAATGACAAAATCATTCCCCCCCCCCCCAACCTCAAATTTGGGTGTATTGGGTATTTGTGCCAAATTTGGTCCAGTTAATGAAAATACATCCTGCATATCAGATATTTAGATTACGATTCATAACAGGAGCAAAATTACAGTTATGAAATAGTAACAAAAATAATTTTATGGTTGAGGGTCACCACACCTTGAGGAACTGAATTAAGGGGTCATGGCATTTGGAAGGTTGAGAAACCCTGATGTATATTGAGACATGGGGAGAAGGGGACCTTGTGACCTGCCTTTGGTTTCAATGCCAACAAACCCTGACTTTTTTGTCATTTCTTCCAGACTTCTCAAAGAGCATCTTGGAGAAAAAATAGTGGAGCTGACGTTAATCTTTGACCTGGTGAAAGAGCCGGACTTGGCCAATTACACGTGCCACGTTGAGAACAGAAATGGGCGGAAGCACGCAAGCATCATTCTGCGTAAGAAAGGTACTTGTCGTCCATGTCCAACTTTGCTTTGGGAAAACAGAAGGCGGTTTTGTGGAAATCAAGCTTTTGATTCTTCGCTTTTCTTTTCTCCACATATATAACACTATGTAACTAAATTTGGGGAAAAAAATCTGTTTGACTATTCATACGTTTGATTAAATTTCGACGTGGAAGTTGACCATAGCATCATGTTGGAGGACATAGAAAATACCTCTCTTCCACTGTAGAATGAATGCAGTCTGACAATGTTTGAATTGCCATGGTTCAATGCTATGAATTAGGCAAGGTTAGGTACCGTCGGAATCTTCATAATTCGGAATAAATTTGGAAAATTACTTTTTTGAAGTGATTTTGAATTTGTAAAGAAAACTGGAAGTCCCTTTGCCCTTCTGAAGTTTTTTCTACCATTTTTGTTACAACTCATGAAGTGAGTTGGAAATGATTCAGATTTTCCCTGCTTCTGGTCCCTGGCCTCAGCTCAAGCCAGAGAAGCCAGTTTAAAACCAGAGAAGGGAGTAATTTTCTGGCCTCGGCTCAAGCAAGAGAAGCCAGTTTTAAAGCCAGAGAAGCCAGTTTTAAACCAGAGAAGGAAGGAATTTCCTGGCCTCAGCTCTAGCCAGAGAAGCCAGTTTTAAACCAGAGAAGGAAGGAATTTCCTGGCCTCAGCTCTAGCCAGAGAAGCCAGTTTTAAACCAGAGAAGGAAGGAATTTCCTGGCCTCGGGTCAAGCCAGAGAAGCCAGTTTTAAACCAGAGAAGGAAGGAATTTCCTGGCCTCGGCTCAAGCCAGAGAAGCCAGTTTTAAACCAGAGAAGGAAGGAATTTCCTGGCCTCGGCTCAAGCCAAGAAGCCAGTTTTAAACCAGAGAAGGAAGGAATTTCCTGGCCTCGGCTGAAACCGGAGAAGCCAGTTTTAAACCAGAGAATGAAGGAATTTCCTGGCCTTGGCTCAAGCCGGAGAAGCCAGTTTAAAACCAGAGAAGGAAGGAATTTCCTTGCCTTGGCTCAAGCCGGAGAAGCCAGTTTTAAACCAGAGAAGGAAGGAATTTCCTGGCCTCGGCTCAAACCAGAGAAGCCAGTTTAAACCAGAGAAGGAAGGAATTTCCTGGCCTCGGCTCAAGCCAGAGAAGCCAGTTTTAAACCAGAGAAGGAAGGAATTTCCTGGCCTCGGCTCAAGCCGGAGAAGCCAGTTTAAAACCAGAGAAGGAAGGAATTTCCTGGCCTCGGCTCAAGTCGGAGAAGCCAGTTTTAAACCAGAGAAGGAAGGGATTTCCTGGCCTCGGCTCAAGCCAGAGAAGCCAGTTTTAAACCAGAGAAGGAAGGAATTTCCTGGCCTCGGCTCAAGCCGGAGAAGCCAGTTTTAAACCAGAGAAGGAAGGAATTTCCTGGCCTCGGCTCAAGTCGGAGAAGCCAGTTTTAAACCAGAGAAGGAAGGGATTTCCTGGCCTCGGCTCAAGCCGGAGAAGCCAGTTTTAAACCAGAGAAGGAAGGAATTTCCTGGCCTCGGCTCAAGCCGGTGAAGCCAGTTTTAAACCAGAGAAGGAAGGAATTTCCTGGCCTCGGCTCAAGCCGGAGAAGCCAGTTTTAAACCAGAGAAGGAAGGAATTTCCTGGCCTCGGCTCAAGCCAAGAAGCCAGTTTTAAACCAGAGAAGGAAGGAATTTCCTGGCCTCGGCTCAAGCCAGAGAAGCCAGTTTTAAACCAGAGAAGGAAGGAATTTCCTGGCCTCGGCTCAAGCCGGAGAAGCCAGTTTTAAACCAGAGAAGGAAGGAATTTCCTGGCCTTGGCTCAAGCCGGAGAAGCCAGTTTTAAACCAGAGAAGGAAGGAATTTCCTGGCCTCGGCTCAAGCCAGAGAAGCCAGTTTTAAACCAGAGAAGGAAGGAATTTCCTTGCCTCGGCTCAGGCCGGAGAAGCCAGTTTTAAACCAGAGAAGGAAGGAATTTCCTGGCCTCGGCTCAAGTCGGAGAAGCCAGTTTTAAACCAGAGAAGGAAGGAATTTCCTGGCCTCGGCTCAAGCCGGAGAAGCCAGTTTTAAACCAGAGAAGGAAGGGATTTCCTGGCCTCGGCTCAAGCCGGAGAAGCCAGTTTAAAACCAGAGAAGGAAGGAATTTCCTGGCCTTGGCTCAAGACGGAGAAGCCAGTTTTAAACCAGAGAAGGAAGGAATTTCCTGGCCTCGGCTGAAGCCGGGGAAGCCAGTTTTAAACCAGAAAATGAAGGAATTTCCTGGCCTTGGCTCAAGCCGGAGAAGCCAGTTTTAAACCAGAGAAGGAAGGAATTTCCTGGCCTCGGCTCAAGTCGGGGAAGCCAGTTTTAAACCAGAGAAGGAAGGAATTTCCTGGCCTCGGCTCAAGTCGGAGAAGCCAGTTTTAAACCAGAGAAGGAAGGAATTTCCTTGCCTCGGCTCAAGCCGGAGAAGCCAGTTTTAAACCAGAGAAGGAAGGAATTTCCTGGCCTCGGCTCAAGCCGGAGAAGCCAGTTTTAAACCAGAGAAGGAAGGAATTTTCTTGCCTCGGCTCAGGCCGGAGAAGCCAGTTTAAAACCAGAGAAGGAAGGAATTTCCTGGCCTCGGCTCAAGTCGGAGAAGCCAGTTTTAAACCAGAGAAGGAAGGAATTTCCTGGCCTCGGCTCAAGCCAGAGAAGCCAGTTTTAAACCAGAGAAGGAAGGAATTTCCTGGCCTCGGCTCAAGCCAGAGAAGCCATTTTTAAACCAGAGAAGGAAGGAATTTCCTGGCCTCGGCTCAAGCCAGAGAAGCCAGTTTTAAACCAGAGAAGGAAGGAATTTCCTGGCCTCGGCTCAAGCCAGAGAAGCCAGTTTTAAACCAGAGAAGGAAGGAATTTCCTGGCCTCAGCTCAAGCCAGAGAAGCCAGTTTTAAACCAGAGAAGTAAGGAATTTCCTGGACTCAGCTCAAGCCAGAGAAGCCAGTTTTAAACCAGAGAAGGAAGGAATTTCCTGGCCTCGGCTCAAGCCAGAGAAGCCAGTTTTAAACCAGAGAAGGAAGGAATTTCCTGGCCTCGGCTCAAGCCAGAGAAGCCAGTTTTAAACCAGAGAAGGAAGGAATTTCCTGGCCTCGGCTCAAGCCAGAGAAGCCAGTTTTAAACCAGAGAAGGAAGGAATTTCCTGGCCTCGGCTCAAGCCAGAGAAGCCAGTTTTAAACCAGAGAAGGAAGGAATTTCCTGGCCTCGGCTCAACCGGAGAAGCCAGTTTTAAACCAGAGAAGGAAGGGATTTCCTGGCCTCGGCTCAAGCCAGAGAAGCCAGTTTAAAACCAGAGAAGGAAGGAATTTCCTGGCCTCGGCTGAAGCCGGAGAAGCCAGTTTTAAACCAGAGAAGGAAGGAATTTCCTGGCCTCGGCTCAAGCCGGAGAAGCCAGTTTTAAACCAGAGAAGGAAGGAATTTCCTGGCCTCAGCTCAAGCCGGAGAAGCCAGTTTTAAACCAGAGAAGGAAGGAATTTCCTGGCCTCAGCTCAAGCCAGAGAAGCCAGTTTTAAACCAGAGAAGGAAAGAATTTACTCAACGGTGGAACTGAATCACTTTTTGGCACACAGAACTCCTTTGAGCAACAAAAAATACTAGAAGGGTTTAGTGGGCATTAATCTTGAGTTTTGAGTTGTAGTTCATCTACTTCCAGAGAGTACTGTGATCTCAAACAATGGTGGATCTAAACCGAACTTGGCACGAATACTGAATATGCCCAAATGGAAACACTGGTGGAGTTTGGGGAAAATAAATCTTGACATTTGGGAGTTGTAGTTGTTGAGATTTATAGTTCACCTACAATCAGATAGCCTTCTGAACCCCACCAACGATGGAATTGTACCAAACTTGGCACACAGAACTCCCCTGACCAACAAAAAATACTGGAAAGGTTTGGTGGGTATTAATCTTGAGTTTTGGAGTTGTAGTTCACCTACATCCAGAGAGCACTGTGGACTCAAACAATGAGGGATCTGGACCAAACTTAGCATGAATACTTAACATGCCCAAATGTGAGCACTGGTGGAGTTTGGGGGAAAACAGAACTTGACATTTGCGAGTTGGCATTGCTGGGAATTATAGTTCACCTCCAATCAGAGAGCATTCTGAACTCCACCAACAATGGAATGGAACCAAACTTGGCACACAGAACCTCCACGAACAACAGAAAATACTGTGTTTTCTGATGGTCTTTGGTGATCCTCTGACATGCAAACGGTCCAGTTCCATCACTAAATTTTCCCTTACTTTGAACTCCCAAAGCAATATCGCTCTCCCAAATTGTCAAGCGAATCCCATGGCGAGTCTTCCTCTCAGCAACTTTCACAGGCCTTTGCTATTTATTTGTTTGCTTCGATCGGGTCAATTTAGAGAAATGACTGTTCTACCTGTTCGCAATGTCGCCCATGCTGACTCAAGATGCTTCTTTGCCAGAGTCCCGGCAAGCAGTGATTTCTGCTATTGTGGCTTATCGAGCTGCCGTTTCCCTCGATACATAAGAAGGAAATTGATTTGGATTCCAATGGCGAGAAAGCAGAAACAGGACTTAAGGGCTAAGCATGTGATGTGTGGCATTCAAAGTGACATCACTAACCCCCAAAGTCTTCTTTTGAATTCACCTGGATTTCAGGAAGGCCTTCTTTGACAAGGTCCCCCATAACCTTCTGGCAAGGAAACTAGTCCAAGGTGGGTGAGGAAAAACTATGGTGAGGCAGATCTGGAATTGGTTAAATGGACGAACCCAAAGGGTGATTCTCCCCAATGCTTCCTCTTCATCCTGGAAAGAAGTGACAAGTGGAGTGCCATCAGAAGGGTTCCGTCCTGGGCCCGGTCCTGTTCAGGATCTTCATTCATGACTTAGATGAAGGGCTAGAAGGCAGGATCATCAAGTTTGCAGACGACACCAAATTGGGAGGGAGAGCCAAGACTCCAGAGGACAGGAGCAGGATTCAAAACGATCTTGCCAGATTAGAGAGATGATTGGCCAAAACTAACAAAATGAAGTTCAACAGGGACAAATGCAAGATA